AAATAAATGGCCAAGAATTCGTTCACTTCCGCATCAATCCCTTCAAGATCATCCACGGCAGACAGTCTTTCTCAGAGTCAGGTTAGCAGTCGGCGTACCTTCATTATTAGATGTGACAAAGTTGTATTTAAAATTGTCATTATGACATAATTTCAATAAAGGATTCTTTAGCTAGCGACGAAAAAATCTAATACGTAAACAACGACTCGTGAAACAGGATCCTTAGAAATGCTCAAATATGAACAGCAAAATCTAAAGATAAATTATAAATAGAACTACTCATCAGACTTAAAAATAAACTTCAAAATCTTTATGAGCCTGTTGTCAGTGAAAGCAGTCTATTAAAATACAGATACTTGTTTAATCTGTAAGGATCGAATAAAATACAGCAACGGTTAATTCGACTGAAAAGCAGCATTCATGTCCGCATCAAGTCCAGAAATCACAAGACCACAAATGTAACCAATTTATAAATAATCTATGTATAGAAGACAATTTAAATTTGTGAATATAGCTCATCCTACCGCAGTGAGAATTAATGTTACCTCTTTCTGCTGCTCACGATCTAACTCTTTATTCAGCACGAGTTGGCCATATTTTCTTCCATTTGCCCTGGTTAGTACATTAAGAATAAAGTGTTCATTGTTTTGAAGTGTATATGACTGCACTGCATTCCGACCAATATCCGCATCATACGCCTCTTCTAGTAAGTATGAAGAACCTTTGTCTGCTGATTCTTGTATTTCGAATTTAATAACACTTTCTTTGAACTGAGGTGAATTGTCATTTATGTCCTCAATATTGAGAATGAAGTGATGCAGCTCTAAAGGATTTTCCAGTACAAACTCATTTTTAATAAGGCATGAAGCTTTCTTCCCGCTAATCTCCTCTCTGTCGATTCTCTCCGCTACGATCAGTTCTCCAGTATTCAGACTACTCATCAGACTTAAAAATAAACTTCAAAATCTTTATGAGCCTGTTGTCAGTGAAAGCAGTCTATTAAAATACAGATACTTGTTTAATCTGTAAGGATCGAATAAAATACAGCAACGGTTAATTCGACTGAAAAGCAGCATTCATGTCCGCATCAAGTCCAGAAATCACAAGACCACAAATGTAACCAATTTATAAATAATCTAGACAATTTAGACAATTTAAATTTGTGAATATAGCTCATCCATAAACTCTTATAGGTCTGACGTTAAATGAAAAAAAAAAAAAAAACATGAACATAACAGCTTTGTTGAAAATGAAATGACTAGAGGGCATGGAACAACCAAACATTCTCTAAGTATGTGTAAAGAGAAACACATTAATTATAACATTTACTCTTACTAGGTCTTCAGCAACACGTCAACAGCAACACACACGTCCTGTACAGCACCATGGACAACTAATAGAAATAGTCCCTTTCTACTAAACTGCAGTGAACTGGGATTTAAAATGAAATACGAATTTTAAAGTACTTTATAAAAATGTTTCAGATAACAGACAACAAGAGGGATCCAAGAAACTTAGCATTTCTAAAAATCATTAGAAAGCATGTTGTCGAAAAAAAATAATCTGTAAACCAAAAATAGTACAAACCTTTCTGAAGAAAGACTTCGTTTGTCCTACCTGAAAGGAATCGTTCACTTCCGCATCAAGCTCAGATTAATGTCACAGTATCGTTTTCTGTTACCTTCAGTATCAATCCGCGCTTTTCGAGATGACAATCTGTTCACATCGAGCCCGAGATCCTTTGCTATATTTCCAATCACAGATCCGCGTTTCATCTCCTCCGGAAAAGAATAGATCACCTCTCCATAAGCGGTGTGCGCCATCAGCACGAAGAACAAAAGACAAAACATCTCAGCAGTAACACAGAACCTTCGGAATTCTTGAAATATTAATTAGAAATTGAATCCAGTATTACCACGCACAAGAAGCATATAACCCAATTTAGAATAATAGACGTAGATAATATCAAGCAGTCAAGTCGCTGTCGACGATTTTCTATAAAGAGATGGGATGAAAGCCCTATATGACATCACAAACAGGGTGGAGAGATGTGTACTGAAGACATACATTGTTTTGCAGGTAAACAGCGACACTATGAGTGAAATGAAGAAACTACATAATGTTCATATCTCTGACAGGATTATGTGTGGGTTATAATCCTTTAGCAATACCACAGCCGGCAGCAACATGCCCTGATGAGTGGAAGATAAACACGACCACAATATTCATAACATTTCAATCAATCAATTAATCAATACATACATATATATACATACATACATACATACATATATATTATATACGCACATCGCGGGATCGTGATCTACAACACGTAAGAATAAAAGGACACTAAATGTGAATTGACAGTGCACAGACAGCAACGGGAAAACCTGTTCTATGACATTTATAATCAAACTAAAAGAAAGTTTAAAAAGTTTCTGACATACGAAACTGATTTATAAGCCAATTTCACGTAACTAAGTCATCGATGAAGAAGAAGAATCACCAAAAGGCTTTAAACTTTTTGAATCTTATATATAATATAAAGAGCCCGGTTTGGTATTTTCTTGCACATGAGCTCTGTAACTCTGCTCCTGAAATACAGGTGGATTATCATTCACGTCAGCTACAGTCAAGTGAATGTTCTTAGTGGAAGATAAAGGCGGAGAGCCCTCATCAGTAGCAGTAATTGTAATATTATAATCAGAGAGCAGCTCGCGGTCTAATTCACCTGTGGTCACCAGAGAATAGTAATTTTTGATTGAAGGTACAAGTTTAAATGGGACGTTTTGCTGAATGGAGCAGCGCACCTGTCCGTTATTCTCAGAGTCTCTGTCCTGCACATTAATGATGCCAACCTCTGTACCGAGTAACGCATTCTCGGGAATGGAGATTTTAACAGATTTAGTTATTATGGTAGGGGCATTATCATTGACATCAATAACATCTATTAACACAGTGCATCGACCTGCTAGACCTTGACTATCTTTAGCCTGAATCGGCAGTTCAATTGTACTCTCTTCCTCATAATCTATGATACCTGTTAGTTTAAGTTCACCAGACACTGCATCGAGATCAAATATGTCCAAAAGACTTTCTGATAAATGACTGAACTCATACGTCACTTCTCCATTTTGTCCCTCGTCAGCATCAGTAGCGCTCACTGTCACCACTACAGTATCTAGAGGAGAATTTTCAGGCAGACTGACTTTATAGACGGTCTGACTAAAGACTGGAGCATTATCATTAGCATCCAGCACAGTGACGTGTATGGCTACAGTACCTGATCTCGGTGGAGTCCCGCCGTCTACCGCAGTGAGAATTAATGTTACTTCGTTTTGCTTCTCACGATCCAACTCCTTATTAATAACCAGCTCTCCATATTTTACTCCATTTACCCCTGTAAGAACACTAAGAATTAAATGTTCGTTGTTTTCTAATGTATATGACTGCACTGAATTCACACCAATATCCGCGTCGTGGGCCTCATCTAATAAATAGCGTGATCCTTTGTCTGCTGATTCACTTATTTCGAATTTGATTATATTTTGTTTGAACTGTGGTAAATTATCATTGATGTCCTGAATATTAAGAATAAATCGATGTAGCTCCAACGGATTTTCCAGCACTAGCTCCTGTTTAATAACACATGAAGCTTTCTTCCCACAAATTCCCTCTCTGTCGATTTTCTCCGCTACAATCAGTTCTCCGGTATTCGTATTAATGTCACAGTACCGTTTTCTGTTACCTTCATTATCAATTCGTGCATCACGACTTGACAGACTCTTTACATCTAGCCCGAGATCCTTTGCTATATTTCCAATCACAGATCCGCGTTGCATCTCCTCCGGGAAAGAATAGCTCACGTCTCCATAAGCAGTGTGCGCCATCAGCACGAAGAACAAAAACCCAAACATCTCAGCAGCAACGCGTAAGGTTTTGATCTATCTATATGAAAATCAACTAAATTGTATTGAAGTTATCAGCATGTAAAGCCAGTTGAAATTACTGAATTTAGTTTATGGTCGATATATGAGGACAATAGAGGAATGCACCGCTCACCGTCGACGATTTACAGCGAGCTGAGAGGTCAGTTCTCAATATATATGACATCATGAACAGGATGGAGAGAAACAATATGAACGTCAACGATTGCACTGGTGAACAGCGACACTAAGAGTTCAATTATGAAACTGCAGAAACCCTCATGCCCCTTCTGACATGTACAACTTGGATATAACACTTACGATGCACATAAAATGGCATATTTGTAGTTTAAAACATACTTGTAGGATATGAAGAGAAGAAGTTTAAAAAAAATCACATTTACAAGATACTTCGTAGTTTGCCCATGGCACGAAAAAATTTATTCAACATCACAGACAATAAGTTAAAACGCATCAAAGCCTACCTTTGAGTACAACCAACTGTAGTCTTGGTATGACATCTTAAAATCTAAAAATCACGAAATCCAGTTTGCAAGACATATTATGCGATCCTGTGGCAGTTTTCACAATTAAACAGATAGCCTACATTATTTTTATTTTGAAGAATATATGAGTAAATGTGTGTTGTATGAGTACAATCCTTTCTCTTCCTTCAATCCACGTTTAAAATCCGCTCCAGCCTCTGTAGCATGACATACTATAGTTAGCTATTGCACAGTGTTTAGACCTCTAATCAGACGCTCTAAAAAATTAACCAAATATTTATTTTATGCTTAAGTAATTAGAAAGATCTCATTATCTGAGGGGAAAAAACTGAAATACACTAACTTAACACACCTGAAATGTTTCAAAGCAACTGTGCAACTAGAAATATCACACGACTTAAAAATTGACACAGGAGAAAATATGATACCATTTGCATGTTGATGCACGCCTTGCACCACGAAATGTTTACAGAAAAGTACTTAGTGCTAAACGTCAATCTTTAAGCGCGCCACGGAAGAGAAATTATTTCAAACATGAATAATTCACAAATTGTTTTCTTGATTATTTCAAAAGCAGAAATGTTTAATGAAAGGACAGGGGTTACACAGGACTAAATTGAGAAAAATACAATAAAACAAAACTATAAACGACAAATAGGTCCCAACTTAAATGTTCTTCTCACTATCGAGAATATCATGATTTAAAAAGGCGAATCACCCTATATGTAACTTTTCGGAGCATAAAAATACACTTATATCTCAGAGAAAGCGCAGCAATACGTCATGGGCTACTTCATTAACAAGAAAGGGACCATAAACATGTACTTTCCCATTCCATTCAAAATACATCGAATTCAAACTTAAAAATGTAAAACCACAAAGCAATAAAACAATCACAAAAACAGGCCAATCATTAATCATCCTACAAATGTCGATTCGCCAATTTCCCAGCGGAGGCACATAAACATGATCTCAATATTCATAGCATTTCGAAAATAAGAAATAGGATATAGATTACTTATGTAGGAGCAACAACCCACAGAACAGTACACACCAGTGCAGCACCATGGACAGCAACAGGAGAAACATACGCTGCCATTTCCAATCTGACTGAAAAGGAGTTTTAATAGATTTTGCTGGCCAAAATATTACTGGTATCTGAATTGAATTCACTTAGTTAACTTCACATAACTGAGGCGTCGATGAGAGAAACGCAAATCATCATTCAATTACAAACGACAGAAACTAGAGAGACACAAAAATGGATGTTAGACAAAACGTTAAGATGACCCTAAGAACTATTAGTTAACAGAAGACAGACATGGATTACTATGCAAGCTCACCAAACAACAATTTGTGAAAGATAGCTTAACTAATAATTGCTCAAACATGACCATACACATCTAAAAATAAATGATACAAATACCAAAGTACATTCAGATTCCAAATTGCCCCTTAAAATGTTTGTCTAAAACGAAGTTCTTAAATGTGTCACGAGACTTTTTACAAGAACAGTGTGTCTTGCCAATGAAAGTCGATTTAGTACATAAACACATTTAATCTGTTAACACACACATTATTTAAAAAAGCGATTTTATTAGTCCTACCTGAGACGAATCGTTCATTTCCGAGCAGCGCACCTGTCCGTTATTCTCAGAGTCTCTGTCCTGCACATTAATGACGCCAACCTCTGTACCGGGTAACGCATTCTCAGGAACAGGACTGGTGAGAGATTTAATAATAAGAATTGGAGCATTGTCATTTATGTCAGTAATTTCTATTACGATTTTTGAGTCTGAGGAAAGACCATATTCGTCCTTAGCCTCAACAATAATGTCATACCTTGATTCATCTTCAAAATCTATTCGCCCCTTCACGGCAATTTGTCCAGTTTGATGATCCAATGAAAATGTTTCTTTAGCAGATTCAGATAAATGCCCAAACTCATATGTGACTTCTCCATTTTGTCCCTCGTCAGCATCAGTAGCGCTCACTGTCACCACTACAGTATCTAGAGGAGAATTTTCAGGCAGACTGACTTTATAGACGGTCTGACTAAAGACTGGAGCATTATCATTAGCATCCAGCACAGTGACGTGTATGGCTACAGTACCTGATCTCGGTGGAGTCCCGCCGTCTACCGCAGTGAGAATTAATGTCACCTCTGTCTGCTCCTCACGATCCAACTCTTTATCAAGCACTAACTCGACATAGTTGCTTCCATCTGTTTTTGAATTCACCGCTAAAACAAAATTTACTTTTTTTTCTAATATATATTTTTGTACTGAATTGTGGCCGACATCAGCATCTCGAGCCTCAATGACACGAAAACGAGCACCTTTATCGGCATTTTCACTTATTTCGAGCTTGATTACATCTTTGGGAAATACTGGCGTATTGTCATTAATGTCTTGGATTTGTAAAACAACACGATGCAATTCCAAAGGGTTTTCTAACACAAATTCGAAATTAAGCGTACAGGAAAGCCTCTCCTTACAAAGCACCTCTCTGTCTATCCGATCGGCCACTATAATTTCTCCCGTTCTCAAATTAATGTCGCAGAATCGGTTTTTGTTACCTTCAGCATCAATGCGAGCTTTACGAGATGTAAGTCTGTTCACATCGAGCCCGAGGTCCTTTGCTATATTTCCAATCACAGATCCGCGATTCATCTCCTCCGGAAAAGAATAGCTCACATCTCCATAAGCGGCGTGCGTTATGACTATAATCAGAGAAATGCCCACAATCAGACAATGCGTCGGAAAGAATCTGCGATCCATATTTCCCATGCAGGCTAATACTAAACAAAACCAGAATATTTCCGAGCATTAAACGAAAGCAAAATGAGATAATCTAGAAACCTCGCTGAAGCGGATACAATAGACCCGTCCAGCAGACAGAATCGAATAATATTTCACTAGAGCTGATGTGCCTTTACAAGGAATGACATCATAAACAGGGTGGAGATAAAATAACATTATGTCTCAAAACCTCTGCCGGTAAACAGCGACACTAGGCGTTAAAATGTGAAAACTGCAATTTATGATCTCAACATAAGTGCACAGGAAATCAGTAAAGTGTAATCAGATTTAAGGCTCAAGAAAAAGAGTCCAATAAACGTGACAAACAAATAATAAATAAATAAACATTGAAACCGTAGTTGTCGAAGTGTAAATGTATACAATGCTCAACAGAAACAGCAGAAAAAGATCAATTTCACACAAAAAAACCCCGTCAAATTCAAAGCCACAAACAGAAAAAAAAGATGCTACTATTAGATTCTAATCAGACAAAATGTTAAATGCCAGCCACCTAAAAAGCTGAATACATTAATGATTTGCAAAAATAAAGACATTTGAAAGAATGGGTGACAATAAGATATGCAAGCTTACATATCACTGAACAAATAAAAGTCTGGTCATATTTCAACTGAAAAGGAAACTTCACTTTATTGATGAAAAAAAAACATTCTGCTCTCAGAGAGTTAATATATAAGTCCTGTCATTTTTAACAAAACATGTAAATATAAAAACAATACTCAAAAATCCTGAAAATTGAAAAGCACAAGATTCAGTGAATGCCAGAACCTTATGAAAAAAAAAACATCTGAATTTACAGTGGTGGCCAAAATTATTAGAACACTACTAGTATTAAAAATGGTTTGAAGTCAGTTATTTCTATCTGTTGCTGTAGTGTGTCAGTAGGAAATATCCGTTTACATTTCCAAGCATTCATTTTGCCATTAATTGTAATAATCCAGTGAGATTTTAGTTTGCACAAGGAGTCTGACAACAGCCTGTGCTCCACACAGAGATCTGATCTCATCCAGTCTGTCTGAAATGACATGAAGAAACAGAATAAACTGAGACAGACTAAATCCAGAAGAACTGTGGCAACATCTCCAAGATGCTTCAAGAAATCTACCTGCAAAGCTACCTGAAAAACTACGCGCAAGTGCACCAAGGGCAAAAGCTGCTTTAAGCGCAAAGGATGCTCACACCAAATGTTGATTTAATTTAGTTAATAGAAGCTAATTGATAAAGAAAATCTATTTATGGCATTATTTTTGACAGCATCCTCATTTTACAGAATTTTTACACAAGTGCCTAAATTTTTAACAGTAATGTAGCTTTGCAGGTAGGTCTCTTTAAGCATCTTGGAGACGTTGCCACAGTTCTTCTGGATTTAGTCTGCCTCAGTTTGTTCTGTTTCTTCGTGTCATTTCAGACAGGCTGGATGATGATGAGATCAGATCTCTGTGTGGAGCACTGGCTGTTGTCAGACAAAAATCTCACTGGATTATTACAATTAATGGCCAAATGAAAGTTTGGAAATGTAAACTGATATTTCCTACTGACACTACAGCAAAATATATATAGAAATAACTGATTTAATCCATTTTTTTAGCTGGTGAAAATAGTGTTCTAATAATTTTGGCCACCACAGTAAATCCATGCCTAACAAAAAGGAATAAATTCTAAATAAATTAATATGAATCTTACCTCATTTGATTGTGCATCAAGCCCTTCAAGATCATCTAAAGCTGACTTTTTCAGAGTCAGGTCAGCAGTCAGCGTGCCCTCATTATAAGATCTGACGAACTTGAAGTCACTAGTGCGCGAGCCCGTGGTCAGGTATGCGTCATAATTGTAAGTGCTGCGGAGACGAGTTTAAATGGGACGTTTTGCTGAATGGAGCAGCGCACCTGTCCGTTATTCTCAGAGTCTCTGTCCTGCACATTAATGATGCCAACCTCTGTACCGGGAAACGCATTCTCGGGAATAGGACTGTTAAGGGAATTAATCACTATTATAGGGGGGTTATCATTGATATCAATAACATGTAATATTACTGTACAATGACTAGCTAGCCCTTGACCATCTTTAGCTTGAATCGGCAGTTCGACTGAACTCTCCTCCTCAAAATCCACGAGTCCCTTTAGTTTAATCTCTCCTGACACTGTATCAAGGAAAAACAATTGCCGGACAATTTCGGATAAATGACTAAATGCATAAGTCACTTCTCCATTTTGTCCCTCGTCAGCATCAGTAGCGCACACTGTCACCACTACAGTATCTAGAGGAGAATTTTCAGGCAGACTGACTTTAATTGTTTGGATCTAGAGAAAATAGTACGTTGGCATTTTTCGAAATTCGACTAAACTCGTATGTGACTTCTCCATTTTGTCCCTCGTCAGCATCAGTAGCGCTCACTGTCACCACTACAGTATCTACAGGAGCATTTTCAGGCAGACTGACTTTGTAAACGGCCTGACTAAATACTGGAGCATTATCATTAGCATCCAGCACAGTGACGTGTATGGCTACAGTACCTGATCTCGGTGGAGTCCCGCCGTCTACCGCAGTGAGAATTAATGTTACCTCTTTCTGCTGCTCACGGTCTAACTCTTTATTCAGCACGAGCTCGCCATATTTTCTTCCATTTTCCCTGGTTAGTACATTAAGAATAAAGTGTTCATTATCTTGAAGTGTATATGATTGCACAGAATTCCGAGCAATATCGGCATCATGGGCCTCATCTAATAAGTAGCGAGATCCTTTGTCTGCTGATTCTCGTATTTCGAATTTAACGACACTCTCTGTGAACTGTGGTGAATTATCATTTATGTCTTCAATATTTAGAATGAAGCGATGCAGTTCTAGAGGGTTTTCAAGGACAAGCTCATGGTTTATGACACATGAAGCTTTCTTTCCACAAAGTCCCTCTCTATCGATTCTCTCCGCTACGATCAGTTCTCCAGTATTCAAATTAATGTCACAGTATTGTTTTCTGTTACCTTCAGTATCAATTCGAGCCTTACGAGATGACAGTGTGTTCACATCGAGTCCGAGATCCTTTGCTATGTTTCCAATCACAGATCCGCGTTTCATCTCCTCCGGAAAAGAATAGCTCACGTCTCCATAAGCAGTGTGCGACATCAGCACGAAGAACAAAAGATCAAACATCTCGAAAGCAACGCGGAACCTTTGGAATTCTTCAGATATTAAGCAGAAATTAAATCCAACAACAAAACGACAAATGTAAAATTAAATTGAGAAAAATCGAAAGGAGTACACTATTAGACGATCAGTCACTGTGGACGATTTTCTACAACGAGAGGAGCTTGAAGCCCTGTGTATGACATCATAAACGGGGCGGAGAAATGTGTATTGAAAACACACATTGTTTTGCAGTTGAACAGCGACACTATGAGTTAAAATAAGAAACTGTATGACATTCTTATCAGACATAATTGAATGTTATTACACACAAAGAACGCGTGTTGTACTTAGCAAATCATTTTATTGGTATGCAACTGTGTAAGCCAGCAGCAACATCCTCTTAAAGAATTAATTCCCCCGATAATGAAAATGTTGTAATTTACTCACCCTCATGTCGTTCCAAACCTGTATAAGTTTCTTTCTTATGTTGAACACAAGAGAAGATATTTTGAAGAATTTTGAAGAGCCAAACAGTTGTTGATCCTCATTGACTTGCATAGTAGGGAAATAAATATTACGGAAGTCAATGGGGTCCATCAACTGTTTGATTACCAGCATTCTTAAAAATATCTTCTATCATGTTCTATATAAGAAAGAAAATCATACAGGTTTGGAACGACATGAGGGTGAGTAAATGATGACAAAATTTATTTTTTGGGGTTAACTATTCATTTAAGTGCGAGATATAAAGAAGGCCACACTATGCATGTTATTAAAAATCAAATAAACAAACAAATATAGAGGGATAGAGAGCTATACACACAAAATACCGAAAACCAGTAGTAAACAGCAGTGCAGCACCATGTACAGCAACACGGGAAACCTGTCCTACGCCATTTCCAATCAGATTAAAAGTACGTTTAAAAGATTTCTCTCAAGGGAACGTTACTAACATATGAACTTAATTCTCATTCTAAACTAACTGCATAGGAAAATGACAAAGACAAAAGTAAAACTATTTAAATAGCAATATTTTATCACAAACAATTACAAATGTCAGACTCTAGAAGGACACATACTGATGACAAGTTTTAACGAAATCATTCGTCAACAGAATGAGACGGATGTCCTTGAAATCTTTAAAAGATCACTAACAAACTACTTTTACAGCTCGACTTCAAAATAAGTCCAAAAAGTGACAAAAAAGAACTACCGCATACATGACCAGATAATGTAAAAAAAAAAAAAAGTCGCTTATACCATCAATATTTTCTAACTCCAAACTGACCCTGTTAATGTGTCTACAATCAAGCATTTGAAAGAGCCACGTGAACCGCTAAGAAAAAAACCTTTGCTAAAGAAAGCAGTCAGTTGAAACCGCAAATATTACATTTAAACAAATTAAATCCACCCAATTATTTTTAAAGAAAGTATCAAAGGCTTACCTTAAACGAATCGAGCATTTCCGCATCAAACCGTTCAAGATCATCCACAGCGGATTGAGTCTTTTTCAGAGTCAGGTCAGCAGTCAGCGTGCCCTCATTATAAGATCTGACGAACTTGAAGTCACTAGTGCGCGAGCCCGTGGTCAGGTATGCGTCATAATTGTAAGTGCTGCAGAGAGTTCCCGCGCCCTCCACCTCTGCGTAATTTGGAGGCAGATATGCGCTGGGAATGGCTACAGCTCCATCAAACAACAGTCTGGGCTTTCTCCTGCGACAAAACCTCACGGCCAGGATGATGATGATGAAGGTCAGGAAGAAAGTGGAAACGGACACCAGCGCGATGATCAAATAAAACGTCAGTTTGGAGCTGCTCTCGTCGCGAGACATGTCTTTCAGTTCCGGAACTTCAGCCAAGTTATCTGATATAAGTAAATACAATGCGCACGTGGCTGAGAGAGAGGGCTGTCCGTTATCTCTCACGGACACAATGAGGTTCTGTTTCATGCTGTCAGATTCAGAAATGTCCCGCTGCGTCCTGATCTCTCCGCTGTGGACACCGATAGTGAAAAGTCCCGGATCTGTCGCTTTAATAATGTGATACGAGAGCCACGCGTTCTGGCCAGAATCCGCATCCACGGCGACCACCTTAGAGACCAGGGAGCGTGCCTGCGCAGCTTTGGGTACCATCTCGGTCATGAAGGAGTTTCCTTCCGGAGAGGGGTATAATATCTGAGGGGAGTTGTCATTCTCATCCGTTATGAAGACACTCACGGTCACGTTACTGCTCAGAGGAGGAGAACCGTTATCTCTGGCTAACACCAGCACTTTGAAACTTTTCAGCTGTTCGTAATCAAACGACCTCACGGCATGAATGA